ACAATAATAAAACAGAAAATAAGAAATAAAATACGAAAAAAATAAGGGTATTAAAAGTTACCGGTAATACGTAATTATTCAAAGCATGAGCTACTGAGCTACTCTCTGTGCCCCGTGATTATAATACTGTTGTAGGACCCGTCTCCATAGTCTTCTGAACCATTCCCTGGTGTAATCGTAGACATCTGGGAAGAAAAATTGTATGACTTTGACGATCTCTCTGAAAGCATGGTATGCGATGCTGATTATGGTACATAACAATAAACTTGTAGCTACAAGGAACTTGCCAGTCTGTAATACAAAATAAAAAATGCAGAGTGTTTATATAATGCAGTAGTTCTGTACTTTAGATAAGGGGGAGGGGTGCATCCCCAATTGGTTCAAATAGTTTTTGTTTTAAATTAAAAATTGAATAATTGAAGAATTAGAAGAGAGATAGAGATCAAGATGGGCAAAAGGCCGTTTACACAGCCCAAACACCATAGTGAAAAATTATCATTTATTTTTACTGCCATTTACACTACTAAAAAAAGCCATTAAAAATATCTGGGCAAGAAAGTACACATACAGTTTTTATGTATCACATTCAATTTCACTATAATTAGCTACATGTTTATCTATATATAGTCCATGAATGGGCATTTGCACTTACATGTACTGTAAACCATCTGATGGTTTCCTCCATGTGTGAAGTTAATATACTCCACTTCTGGGACAGATATTCCCCTACAGATGAGGGTGATGGTGAAGAAGATGGTGTGTGAGTTGAAGAGGCGGTGGAATCAGGGTCTGCTTCCTTGGTTAGTAGTATGTGTATGTCATTAGTGGGTATTTTTAATACACAGATACCTGTACATGTATACTTGACATTGCAACGAGCTGTGCCTGAAGACCTTGCTACTATCAGGCCCGTCGTACGATCAATCACGAAAGCATAGAGTCCCAACGATTCAGCGAGGAATCCTATACTCTTAACCTCCATCTTATAGTAAATAAAAATTTGATCGTAAATTAATGTTGCCTTGCAACGAGCAGGTACGTAACATTTAGTGCTGTCTACCGGTAGTCTGTAAATTGGACAGTCAGAGCCATAGATAGACCATGTACCAGTGCCATCCTCGTTTGGGTTCGGTGACCATGCTATAGTGTACCGATCCAATGGTACAGAAGCAGGCAGGTCTTGCATGGAGACAGTGGTTGTCAAAATTCCGTTTTCATGTGGTACGTAGCAAGATAGATCTGTCTTTGGTTCTTCCACAAATGTAATCGTTGAACTTGCTAGCATATAACAGTTCATAAAGACAAAAAGCAGTCCATGAAGCTTATAGTACACCCCCATTATTAAACACAGTAGCATGCACAAGCTCAAAAACCAATATAACACTGCGTAGGCCTATTGTATGGAGGGTGGAAGTTTATTGTGGAATGCACGTACTCCCTTCCAAATCATTCAATCTGTAATAAAAACAGAGAGAAAATACTTATTGTTAATTAAAGAACAATGCTTCTTGTGTCACATTAAACAAATACATGTAGGCCTATGACCTACGTGTAGCTCACTAAATTACAGTTGTCTTGTGTGATTTCTTTGCATATAAACTACATGTACAGTGCTAAATAAATTACTCATTGCGGATATAGTATCAAAAATAAAATCGCAAGTGACATTCGTTTGTCTCGCAATGTATGGTCAACAAGGTTTTGTGTGCTGCTGCTATACTTCGTCAGGTCCACCCGTAGAGTATAAAACATGCTTGCTTACATTTTATCACCTGACGAAGTGTAGCAGCGGCACATGAAACGTTGTGATCTTTTAAATCCCTTGTTATTATTATTTTCGATACATGTATAGTAGTTCCATAATTATGCTTAAATATGTAAGCTGAATAATCAACTGCTTTATTCAAAATAGCAGTTTATAAATTTCTTTACATGCATGTACACACCTGTATTTTCTTTAAGAATCTAAAGCTTATTTGGTTCACTTGTACCTGAAACATGCGCGCAGTGTCAAATAGAAAAACCTAAAAACCACTCTGCAATATAGTCATTGTGCTACTTGAACGTGTCTTATCTCAATTTATGTCTAATCTCTTCAAACTAGTAAGACTTCAACTTAGCCTAGCTAGCTTGCATTGATTTCACAAAATATGTTTGCTCATATATGAATATCCATATTTGTATGTAGTTTTTAAACATCTTAAACTATATATACCTAAATATTGCTCTTTTGTTTCATTTGAGCAAAAATAATTAATAAACCATACTTCCTATAATGCATAACTGGCATTTAAAATCTTCTTAGATAGGTCTAATGCCTGTCAAAAGTATTACAATAATTTCACTTTGCATAATTAATAATCTGTTTCCTTTTCTGAATCACCCAATTTCATGCCTTGACTGCTACATTAATTGTTTGGCTAAAAAGGGGCATAAATAACCACTTATTTAATCTGATACATTTTATTCAATCATATGAACTTTGACCTACATTTTGCTGTACTAAGTAAATCTGATATACATGTATGTAGACTATATGCACACGTGTACACACTGCAAATTTTGATCTCACAACATTTAAACTCAGATTTATCAAAAATCCTTCTTTGTTACTTATTTATGTAATAGAGATTTCTAACTTCATAATACTTACTCTTAGGGCGATGTTAAGTTAAAACAAACGGGGAAATTTGGGAAGATTTGTTCCTCACAAAGTATAACAAACAAACTTCATCGTCAGACGTCAGAAAATCATAGCTGCAAGTCATCCTGGGAAAATGACGGTGTCCGCGAGAAGGCAAATATATAAGGTGTCCGTAAAATTCATTAAAAAGAAATAATTTCAACGTAACGGGAGAATCTATATATTCATTGCGAAGTACATGTTTGTGCTTGTTAGCCGCTGGGCATATGCTTGGACGATATGATAAAAAGAAAAATTGGTCATGAATCTCTTCATAATGTGTTATTCCCATCAATTCACGATCGCTGTGCCAATTCTTTTGAGAAGCGACTGAGGCTTATATGCTTCAGCTACCAAAAATAGTGCAGATGACGTAAAGTCCTCGTAGCAAAATTGATATACCCCCTTGCTCCAGGCTTGGATGGAGGTATTGGGAGGCTGCCAAGAACCACTGATCCCCAGGTCAACAATGTCGTTGTGCCAGTGATCGTTGCTGGAAGGGAGTAGAGAGATTGACAAATCGCCATAGTAATCACTGACCTAGAGGTCAATGGTAGTAACCCTAAAGTGCCTGCACTGAGTTGGGCAGCCGAGCGCGGTCGAAGTGTCCCCCTAACAATCCGCACAGAAATTAGTCCTCATTAAGAAGCAGAATTCCGTTGCAAGAGTATTCACTGTTAAAAAAAGTACATGTTATTAAGATAATAACAAGCTTCTGACACAAGACAGAAAATCGTTAAATAGTGCAGTGTTAAAAAGAACTTTCTTGTTATTATCAATGCGCGGGTGATAAGGGGTGTTTCAAAACCCGAGTTGAGGACTCAAATTTTATGTATGGGGTTTTTCAACCAGGAAAAACCTGAGGACTGAGAACTTGATCGAATGGGGGAGAGGGTGGCTCCTGGAAAGACATTAGTGATTGCTTAAATGAAAAATGGAGAAGAAAAATGGAGAATAATTAGAAAGTGAAACGCAAGAAGGAAGTCTGCAGAGACTGACTATAGGATCGGCGGCCGTGCCATACAGGTAAAAGATAATAAAAATACTAGGCCACTATAGACTGAGAAGGCGAAGAAGAAGAATTAAGAAGAAGAAAAAGAAAAGAGCCGCGAACCGGAGAGACAGAGAGAGAGAGAGAGAGAGGAGAGAATTAACATTTTTGAGAGAGAGGGGGGGGGGGGGGGGGGGGGGGGGGGGGAGAGAGAGAGAGAGAGAGAGAGAGAGAGGAGAGAGAATTAACATTTCTGAGAGAGGGGTAGAGAGAGACAGACAGACAGACAGAGACAGACACCTGGGGAATGGAGAGACAAACATAAATAAACATGAGGAGAGAGGGATTGAGAGAGAGAAAGTTAGGGAAGGAAGAGATAGATAGAAAGGAGAGGAGAGCTAGATAGATAGAAAGGAGAGGAGAGAGACTGAAGTAGGCAGTCTAAAAGAAAAATAGTCGAAGAGAGACAGAGAGAGAGAGAGAGATCGAAAGTAGCGCAAAGGCTATGTTTGGAAAACAAGTTGATCAGCTGGGTTAGGCCTCCTCTGAAGCAAGCAAAGAAGGGGGTATTTCAATACCAGACTTTATGGCCATTTACTCGGGTTTGCGAGCTACGAGGGTCAGACGTAATGGCCCGAATTCACAAAGCAAGGTTTGAGCTCAGACCAGGTTTGAGCTCAAACCTCCTTTTGTTTCGCCAAACCTCCTTTTGTTATTTACCTGGTTTGTAAATAACAAAAGGAGGTTTGGCGAAACAAAAGGAGGTTTGAGCTCAAACCTGGTCTGAGCTCAAACCTTGCTTTGTGAATTCGGGCCAATGAGCTCAGATGCATTGCATTTTCAGATTCAATTGGAACCTGTATAGAGCTCTGTCTCCAATCTGTCAGACTGCAATATGTCATTCATCCATTGTCAAGGAACCTTTGTTACATGTTTTCCCATAGGAATATCCAGACACTATATTCCATTATCTGTTCTGTTCTTTTGACATGGTAAGGTGTTAAAACAGCTAAAAAATAGAAGCCACTACACACCTGTATGTAAAGTAGTTGTGCTTTTTAGAACAGACTTATACACATGTACATGCCAATAGGCATATTAATATTATTGCTTTTTTAAAATTCTGGGTAGCCTATTTTCTTACTTTCTGGGTTTGTAGAAGAAACATGCTGTAACAATGTGAACATCAAATTTCCATAGCAAAATATTTAAAGCAGTAATTTTCCCTTCCAAGATGTACATACAGTACATGTATATTCCAAGTAGCTGGTATTATGAAAATATCTTAACAGTGTGAACATGCTTGTATACTATATCTTCTACCAGGTATTTCAAGCAGCCAGTGAGCTACTCGTCCAGCATCGTTAAGATATCTGACAGTGTGAATAGAGCTGATTCAGGTGTGATCAAGAGCACCTATTTTACCAGTGGTCTAGAGGAAGTCTTCAAAGAGAATCATGAGGAAGACAACCTCTTGAGGTAATTAACTAAACAACTCTTTTTTAAAGAAGTGTTTTCTGCTCGCTCCCTTCCCCCTCCCCTCTCTCTCTCTCTCTCTTTCTCTCACTCACTCACTCTTTCTGACTTTGTCTGTCTGTCTCTTGGTTTCTCTCTTCCCTCTCTCTTTTTCTGTCCATCCTCTCTCTCTCTATTTCTCTCTCTCTCTCTCTCTCTCTCTCTCACTTACTCTCTATGTGACTCTGTCTCTGTCTCTCTGTCTTTCTCTCGCTTGCTATCTCTCCTCCCTTCCTCTTTCTTATGTCTATCCTCTCTCCTTCTTTTTGTTCCTCTCTCTCTCTCTCTCTCTCTCTGTCTTTCTCCACCATTCGTCTCCAATGGTCTATCATTCTCTTTATCCTCAACTCATCATCACCACCATCTTTATATCTCTCCATCCCTCTTTCTCTTTCCATCCTCTCTCTCTCATTCTCTCTCTTCCTCTTTCTCTCTCTCTCTCTGTCTGTCTGTCACTCACCCTCTCTGACAATCTCTCCCTCTTGATCTCTATTGCTTGCTTTCTCTCCTCCCTCCCTCTTTCTCTCCTCCCTCCCTCTTTCTCTCCTCCCGTCCTTTTATTTTTCATGTCCCACTACATGTACAGAAATGCAAAAAAGGTTATTTTGTCTGTTTGAAGCCAAAGGGCATTGACCCATAGAAAGGGTTAACGCCCTTCTGGCTGTTGGCAGACTATAGACCTGTTTTCATCAGCTTGAGTTTGCCAAATAACCCGCTATTCTAACTATCCCAATCAGCCCAATCAGCCCGCAGTTGCAATTAGCGGGATATTTGGTCGAGAACATATCCCAAGAAATATTCGTCTTGTTTCCAAAATACCCTGCTATTTGGGAAATAGTGGGCTAATTTGCGCCCGTCCGAGCTAGTTTGTGATGAGTGTATCCGTCCGGTGAATACGCAATAGTGAGCTTCGGTTTGATATTCCAAGTCTGAAAATAGCAGGTTATTTGGCAAACTCGAGCTGATGAAGATACAGGCATTATATGCTCATTCATGTCTGCCGTATGCATTAATTCTCCTCAGATGGCAATATTTTGGCTCGGTTGAGGGTCTGGTAAGACTGTACCCCGGGCGAGAATGGGACACCAACTTTGTCGGGTTCTACAATGACTATGACCCCAGGGTCAGACCTTGGTATATCGCAGCCACCAGCGGACCCAAAGATGTGGTCATCATCCTCGATTGCAGGTATGATTAATTTACATTTGCCATGTGTTCTCAATTACGCAGGTGTATAGTAGAATTAATACCTGTTCAGCATCTTTTGGCAACTTTAATACATGTAGTTATAGTAATGGAAATAATAGCTAGTCCTTTTTAGTTGCCTGAGCATCCCCTGGGATGGGTGTGTGTACGGTAGGAATGTAGCTATATATTGCCATTATTATTACAATGATGATCAGTGATGATTGTGGCATAGAGATGATGATGATGATGATGATGATTGATGATGATGATGATGATAATGATGATGATGATAATGATGATGATGATGACGATAACGATGATTTAGGTAATGGTGATGATAATAAATAGTGATGGTGGTTAGTAGTGGCTTGATGGTGTTGAATGATGAAAAAGGTGATGATAATTATGATGATGATGAAGGTGATTATGATAATGATTATGGTGATTATGATAATGATAGTGACATTGATATTGGTAATATTCATGATGATTGTGATGGTGATGATGTTGGTGATTGTCTTGGTGGCTGTGGTAGTGATCATTTGATGGTGGTAGTTGCGATAGTGTTTAAAGTTGTTGCAGTGATTGTGGTAGTGGTGGTGGTCATCTAAATTTGCATAACGTAGAGAAAATGCAAAATTCACCATATAAGCAGTAATCATGATGGCTTCGATAGTGGTTCTTACATTTCTCCCCATGTGATTTCTTTTTCTTAAAAACAGCTATTCCATGAAAGGAGAGAAATTCAAGATTGCCACAGAGGTAGTGAAGACCGTCCTGGACACATTGACCAAACAGGATTACGTCAACATCATCTGTGCTAGGGCTAGTCACTGGGACGGAGAGGGAAAGTAAGTCTCATTTCCAATTAAAGTTGTAGTGCTGTCAGTAACAGTATGAATGTCCATGTTCTTTTCTCTGAGACGTGCTGTTAAATATGTACATGTAAGGGGGAAGCTAGGTGTCGGAGGGTATATTGCTTTACTCTCGATCAGTAATATTATTGATTAGTAATGAGGTGGAGAGGGAAAGTAGCCTAATTATTAATTTAGTCGTAGTTCTGTAGCAATCTTCTTTCCTAAAATTACGAGTTACCTGACAAAATGTAGTTTGGAGAGTCAGACATGTGCATTATATCTGATACTAGATGGAGTTTTGTCGTGCAATATTTTAGTACCGGTACTTTTCTGCAAGGGAAGGGATTTCAAAGGTGTACAGGGAGGGAGGGGGAGGGGGTGGGGGAGGTAGTTGTTATATTACTGTTAACTCTATTATTGAACATTGATGATGAATGAAATGAAATCAAAATCAAAGCAAATCAATCCTTGAAACCAATGGGAAAAAAAAACAATAGAAATTAAATTGGAAAAATGGAAATTAGTCCCTAACAGACCAGTAGACTGACAATTAAGTAAAAATTATATCCAAACCTAGCTGGGCATAATTTACAAAAGCCCATAAAGATAAACATACTAGCTAGGGCTGACTTTTCTTTTCTTTCATAAAACAAGGGCTGACATTGTATAAGAGAATTTTTAGTGGCAAACATTATAAAAAGTGTGAATTGTATAGAGTGAGTTATCAGCATAAGATGTGAACTTTCTATATCTTCTTCTTCTGCCTCTGCTTTTTCTGACCCTCCCTTTCGTTCTTTCGATCACACTTGCTTTCTTACCATCCTCCCTCCAACTTCTCTCTCTTTTTCTTTCTTTCTTTCTTTCTTTCTTTCTTTCTTTCTTTCTTTCTTTCTTATACTCTCTTTCTTTCTTATACTCTCCTTTTCTCTCACAATTGCTCCCCCTCCTGCACCTTCTCTCGCATTTTGTTTTCTTTCTTTCTTTCTCTATATCTTTCTTTCTCATTCTCTCTATTTCTCTCTGACTCACTGTTATGATTATGTTAGCCTCTCCTTTATATGTCTATTCACTTTAATATAACAACATCTCCTTCCAGATTAATGCAAAGATCTACATGTTTTTCTTTTCTTTCATCTAGATGGTATTATTACAGAACAGAAGTACAGAGCTGTAAGAATGACACGCTGGTCCCGGCCACCACGGCACATCGTAAAGACCTGTATTCAAAGACAATCAACCTTGTTCCTGGCGGGACCAGCGAACTCAAGTGAGTTGCATTGTGTTTTCTGTGCCATGTTCATTTACGTGTATGTGAAAGTTACATTGCGTGGTAAGTACTTTCTAGGATAAAATAGAGGTTAAGAGTTATCTGTAGACAACCCTTATTAAAAACATGTCCTTTTTTTTATTGCATCTATCCGTTTTCTAAGTGCGTTTTATATTAATCACTGAAAGAAGGATTTTGTCTGACCTGTATTTGCTTTAAACTTTAAATTTGATTTGATTATTTCAAGCAATTTTATTTACACAATTTAGGCTTTTTTTTTTGTCTTTCTAACAAAATGTAATAATACAGTAACTACTTGGCATATACATGTATGCATATACAATGTACATGTATGTATTTTGGAGAAAGATAAGATATTATGGTTTACAGATATTTCACCAGTTTTGTTTTTCCTACTATTATTGACAAGAGTATAGCCATCAATGAAAAATAGTGATGAGTTTGATTTAATCCAGGTTTCACACATACCAATAAATGTGCAATAATATTTAATTTTGTCCAGGAGAAGTTGAAACTGGTCACCTCCAAATTTGCCTTCTGTACATAACTGTTTAACTTTTTCCCCTCATCATTACTTGTCTTATAATTTTGAAAATGTAGGTTACATGTAATAATCATATTCCTTCACATTTTGTTTAGGTATGCTCCGTTATAATGTATGATATGTGATGAAGTGATGAAGTGACGTGAAATACGAAATATAGTAAACTGCAGCTAAACTGAAACTGGTACTAACCTAAACATGGATCAGAGATTGTTCTGTGAACGTCTAGCTGTGGTGAACAGTTACAGACATTGATGAATACATATCTCTTCTTCCGTCAGACATGGTTTTCAGAAAGCCTTTCAGCTTCTTGGAGGTAGATCAAGAACAGGATGTCAAGCCCTCATTATCCTGGTGACTGATGGGAAGGATACGGACGGAGAACACGTTAGATGTGGGCCAGGTAACAACCTGTTAAAATCTCAAAGGGTTCTTGTCTTTTGTGTTCATTTAGAGCCCTTGTACTGGGTTTACATTGAATTACTTCTCAAGGCAATAGATTTTTTTGAATTGATCAAAACATCTGAGGAATGTGATACAACTTTTTGTTTTTTGGTGGTGAAGGGGAGGGCTAAGACACAAAAATCCCTGTTTAGAAGTGGTAGTGAAATCAAGATAATGGTGGAAAAATGAAAAATCTTGGTGAAATGATTCTCTCCTTAAAACAATAGATTTGTTAGTGATAACAGCATGTTACTCCCTCTCTCTCTCCCTCTCCCTCTTTGTTTCAAGGAAACAAAAATGACTTTATAGACGGGTAGTTTGTCTATACAGACCACGACCTTAAACCACTCGACTACGACACTTCTATTACTTCTATTACTTCTATTAACCCTTACTGTACTGGGCTATTTTGAGCACCTCCTGACTGGGGGGGGGGGGGGGCCTGGGAGGCCCCCCCCTATGATCTCGGCCGTCGGATGTCCGATGAACACGAAAATTTGCATGTTTGTAGATATTTACGTAACGAACAAGATGGTGTAATTAGTTTTTTGCGAATATGCAAATTTTTGTCGCTATAGCCTAATTAATTATGCAAAACGCTAATTTTATGCATTTTACAGAAAACGTGTCAAACTTCACTTTTTGAACGTTGAAACTCATTATTCATATGAAACTTCTTTTCTAACACATAATATTTATTTGGATGTAATTAATAATGATAATTTATGCAAATTTGATGCGATTTTCAAATATTTATTTTCTTATGTATTTTATTGTTTTTTTATTTCTTATTATATCTATTGTTTTTATTTCTTATGTATTCTTTTGTTCTGGAATACATCAAGTTACTTTGAGAAACATATAAAAGCAATTCGATATCAATTCATATCACCCACTTAGGAAGGAATACATCTAAACCTGTATTCACATTTCTGCTTGTACATGAATATATGCAATTATAGCATATTTTTGATGACATGCGCATACTAATTGTTATGTAACACCTCACAGGTATATCTGATTGCGACGAAAATGGTATCAAAACGTGCGTAAGACTTGAGGGAAAAAAGTCATGAAACGACAATTCAAAATTTCAAGCGGTTGCGGCGAAATCTCCGAAAATGTCGAGGGGGGGGGGGGCCTCCCAGGCCCCCCCCCCCCAGTACAGTTAGGGTTAAAGCTACTTTTTTTTTCTTCTCCCTATTCGCAGGCTACTACACTCGCAGTGGGTTTGTACCCGGACCTATCTGCAAGTATCAGTGGGAGAAGGTTTGGGATGAGGTCGCCATGGACAACAGTAAAGCTAGCCCTAGGGTGAGTGAAATATTAATCATGTGACCAATTTAAAGCCCCACTGCACTACTTACATGTATAGCTACTTGCGCCCACTATATAGAAAACAATGCCTAATCGGTGACCATTGGTCCCCCATGATCCTCTTTTTCTTATGTTAATTGAGAGCATATTTGATGAGATAACCACCTGTCAGTGACCATGCAGGGAGGTCTAATCCCTCCTGGCCAAACTAGTACGGTGTGGCTTTAAAACTTGTGATCTTTGAAGGCTTCCATCATGGTGATGATACATTCAAGCGTGGTTTGCGGTTACACCATGTATATTTTCAACAGGGTTAGCTGTCTTCAGCAGAGAGAGAGAGCATGAGTGGGCCATTTTGAGGGCCAACTAATCCTGTAGAAAGAATGCGTGTTGTAACTGCAAAACTCGCTCAAATTAATTTGAAACTTATCACAAAACAATATTGAAATCCATTAAAACCATTAGAACCGGGTTTAAGTCCATGCATTTCACAGCACTGATGTCCTTTGGAAAGATATTAATCTACATTTGCCATGCTGCACCCAGGTGAGGTAAATGGGTACCAGGCAGGAATTTATTTCTTAAAATCTCAAGCGCTGTAATGGCAGCCATGCTACATGTAAAGCTAGGGTAACGATAATGGAGTGCCAGGAATGGCAATGTGCCAAACATGAGGGCCATACAAGACTCCACTAGTATTAATAATCAGATCTGATGAATGCATGTCTGTGAAACTAACCCAATCACTAACCAAATCAATCTCCCTCCCCCCCCCCCCCCCCCCTCCCCCCTCTCTCTCTCTTTCTCTCTCTTCTCGCTCTCTCTTCCAGGCAAGAATTTTCAGCTACCTTACCAAGGACGATGGGGAGGAGTTTCCGGGCAAGCTGGCCTGCGATCACCGTGGCAACATGAGGAAGCTCCAGAACGGGGAGGACCTCATCTCCCAGATGGATGATTACTTCAAGTTCCTCTCCAACAACTCCCTGAACACCGATGGTCTCTGGACCGCTCCCTACCTGGACTCCTGGGGTCTAGGGTTGATGGTGACCATTGCCATCCCTGCTATTAGCCAAGTTACAGGAAGGTAAAGGCTAATACTGTTTTTGTTTTCTTGAGGGGGGGGGGGGGGAGGGAGGGGAAGGGGGGAGACAGTTCCTGAAGGCAAATGGTCTGTGAACAGCTCCCTACCTGGACTCCTGGGGTCTTGGGTTGATGGTGACCATTGCCATCCCTGCTATTAGCCAAGTTACAGGAAGTTAAAGGATAATAATTGTGATTTTTTTTTTTTTTTTTTTTTTTGAGGGAAGGGGAGGAGGAGGAGGGGGCGGGGAAGGAGACGTGTGTAGGGCAGTTACTATAGGTTTTTCTGTCTTCCTAATTCCTGTAGGCAAATCGTCCTTGGACAGCTCCCTACCTAGACTCCTGGTGTCTTGTGGTGGGGGAGGGGGGGGGGGGGGGCAGGTATAGGACAGTTACTACAGGTTCTTCTACTTACTAGTTCCTGAAGGCAAATGGTCTGTGGTTGTCCCTTCCCTCCCCCGACCTTGACTCTTTTGAATCGACATAGCATTGTCTTGTTCTTGTTCTTTCATTTTGTTGTCCCTGTCTCTATTTTTTCTCTTCCCCTCCCCTTCTCTCCCTCCTTCTCTCCCCTTCTCTCCCTCCTTCTCTCCCCTCTCTCCCTCCTTCTCTCCCTCCCCCTCTCTCCCTCCCACTTTCTTTCTTTCCTGCTCTCTGCCTGCCATTTCCTGATGAGTACCTGTACATGGTATATCACAGATTTGACATTTTTATTATCTAATGAAGATATGGAGTAAGTTTCAAGACTAATTTTGTTGCAGGTGCTTACAATCTATTTTTGCTTCAAAATTAAGATGTTGCCACTCTGTTTGTTCTGCTTCTACCCTTTCCTTTCCTTTCTGTCCTTGCCAATTACTTCCCTTACCCTCTGTCTCAGTTTGTGTATGTCTCCCTCAGCATACATGTATGTGCATATACTGATATACATTCTACGATTTGTTCTAAAAACTAATCTCAATCCTTGCATCAATTTTTTTTCTCTTGTGCTATCTCCCTCCTCTTACTCCATTTTCCACCCCATCTCTCTCTCTTTCTGTTCTCTCTCTCTCTCTCTCTCTCTCTCTCTCTTTCTCTCCCTTCCCCCCTCATTCTCCTGTCTCAATAGGTTTTGTCACTTTTCTGAATATTTATACATGTATAATTTCCATAAGATGTAAATTATTGTAATTTCAGTCTGGATTTAAACCTTAAATGCAGCTCGAAGACATCAAGATAAAGACTCTAAAATGTAAGTCTGAATTTAACAAGTGTTGTTTTTTCTCCATTGTCTTTAATATATCAGTGTAATAGGTGTAGTAGGCATTGACGCCACTCTTGACGAGATTGAGAACCTGATCGTCAATGAGCAATGGGGGTCTGTTTATGCTTTCCTGATTGACAACGAGGCCCAGACCATCTTCCATCCATTGCTCAAACCCAGCAAGGCGGTAAGGATTTTTATTTCAAGATTTGTTTAATTTTTTACATAGTTTTACTGGTTGGTTTAAAGCCCCACTGCACTACTTATGGCTACTTGCGCCGTCTATTAAGCAAACAATGCCTTATCGGTGACCATTGCCTGGCTGGAATGCTCCCCAGGGAGTGGAGAATGTGCATACATTGTGTGCGGGTAAGCCTTGAATCCGATGACCGGGGTAATAGTATTATATCTGTAAGGCGCTTTGATAGGGCCCTCCTGAAAAGCGTCATATAAGAAATAGTTATTATTATTATTATTATTATTGGTCCCCCATGGTCCCCATGGTTAATTGAGAGCTGATCTGATGAGATAACCACCTATCAGTGACCATGCATGGAGGCGTAATCCCTCCTGGCCAAACTAGTGCAAGTAGGCTTTAAAGGAATTCAACACAAAGTGCAGTATCTACATTATTTAGAAGCTGAAATCTGAGCTATACGTATATAAAGCCGGACAGCTCAAAGTTAATCTGCAAAGTGTTCTTTATAGGCAGGTCGTCTCTGTACATGTTTCAACAAGAAACCATTTTCAAGGGAAACAAAAATGAGGTCTTTATAGACATGTGGTCTTTCTATACAGATGGTCAATAAAGCAGGTTTGACTATAATGATAAATCACGTAACAATTTTTTTAAATGTCACTCTAACATTACATTTATTTTCCTACGTAGCTTGTGGATGATCCCATATTCATCAACATTGCCAAGCTGGAACAGCCGGAAGGGAAACCAGAGTCGTTCAGTATCGTGGAGAAAGACATGAGACAGGGCATGAGTGGTTTCCTCTACATCCCTGATGCTATAAGGGGAATACCCAAGGTTCGTATTACATCATTTGTCCACATTCCCCCCTAATTTTGCCTCCCTGTGTTTTATAGCTACAGTGAAACCTGTATTTAAAGACCGCTAACAGGAAACATGAAAAGTGGTCTTTATAGGTAGGTGGTCTTTAAAGACAGGCGGTTGCTAAAGCAGGTTTTACTGTATTTTCACTGCTCTGTTTTAAGCCCCACTGTCCTACTTGTAGCTACTTGCTCCCTCTACAGTGTATAGAAAACTTACCCAATCGGTGCCTGTTGGTCCCCCATGATCCTCTTTTTCTTATGTTAGTTGAGAGCTGAGTTAATGATGAGATAGCCACCTGTCAGTGACCTCGCTGTGTGGTCTAATCCCTTCTGGCCCAGTAGTATTGACGGTCTTTAAGAGAGTACCCAAAGTTGGTGTTACAGTGTGTACATCGTTGTTGTATTTAATTATATTTCCTCCCTAATTTCACTTCTACCCGTTTTGTGTTTCATATAGCTACACTGTTGCCCATAAATTTTGAATTTTTTTTTTTGTTATTTCTTTTCCTGAAGTGATTGTGACAATTTGGTATATTCTTGATAGATAAAGTTTATATCTTCTCAGAACTGGTATTGATCAATCTAGAGTCATAAAGATTGATCAGTAAAGTGAGTGTCTGTAAAATTGCGCCTGGCTGAAATACTCCCAAAGGAGTGCAGAATGTGCATACATTGTTTGCGGGCAAACCTGAATCCGATGACCGGGGTAATAATATATCTGTAAAGCGCTTATAGAGACATTTTCCATGTATTAAGCGCTACATATGCGAAATATCATTATTTATTATATGATTTCATTACTTTCAAGAAAGTTATCTTATATTTATCTCTACAGGGTGATTTTGCAGATGGAGTGAAGACACTACAGCAACCAGCAACATATTACTACACATCCCTCAACCAATCCGTCTACTCCTTTGCCTTTAACCTTGCCGATACAGATAGGGTAAATAAAGCCATGAGTTGGAAAATTTTGAATATCATGTTATTAGTTACATGTAGCTTTATATCTACAGGTGTATATACAAATCTTTAAAACAAGTTTAATGAAAATGGCAGCTCCCATGGGAGAATGATGAGCAAGGAAACTGCAAACTTTGAAGAGATTGTTTTCCTTGCTATAATAATAGCCTGTTCTTGTATACCGCTTGTATATTAAATGTCTTACACAATTTTATCAGTTTACCTGTAGCTATATTTATATAACAATTAAATTTTTTTTTTTTTTTTTCAATTTTAGTCAAAGTGACAGCTCCCATGGGAGAATGGCTAGCAAGGAAACTGCAAACTTTGGAGAGATTGTTAACCTTGCTATGTAATCAAAAAGGAGTAATTTCAAATTAATTTGGAGTGGCTGACAATTTTTTAATAAGCTTAAAGGGGGTGTAGCATGGCAAATACTGGTTAACGCCATCTACGACTTCTTTTGGACAACTGTACGTGAATACTGCGGTCGCGTCTTCCGTAGTCGGTAGTATATATCGGCCCTGAGTCAGGCCACAGGAAAGACACGTAGTCTTGACATGCTACACTACACCCCCTTTGATATCAGCTCATCTTTGTTGGGTTTCATTCTCCTGTCTGTCAACAGAGCTTCAGACGTTTAGAGGAGCCTCCTGACAGAGACCGCTACAACACCAGCTACTTCAACCTCCTCATCGAGTACAACAGCTCACTCGCAAGAACAGATCTACCAGGTATAATTCACTCGCTTATAACAAATTACTTTGTACAGTGAAACCTGTGTAATGAAGACTGCTCAGGGGAAACATGAAAAGTGTTCTTGATAGGCAGTTGGTGTTTATGTACATGTTCCTTCAGTACATGTTTCAATGAGAAACCATTTTCAAGGGACACAAAAAATGAGGTCTTTCTATACAGGTGGCCACAAAGGCAGGTTTGACTGAATATTTCTGCTACATGCTCCTTTCTCTCTCTGGTGCCAAAAGGCAGATGTGTACATTGTATTTTCATAACTATTCAATTTGAATTTTTTCTTTTCTTTCAATTAAGCATTTATTATGATTCCTTTCAAAAATTTGTTTTTAACTGGTGAAAGTTTACAAATCAATTCATTACAAAAATCATAGTCAATTACAGTAATGGTAAATAACCGCTTTTGTTGGCAAATTACACAAAATCATTTTTGTACGAAGAGGATGCCGACGGGTCAAAAGCGGACCAAATGTAGGCTGTTGAAAAATTTGTCAGGGGTAATTTTTTCAATCATCATAATCATCGAAAGAGATTTGATGGGCCTGTTATATGTAAAATTGTGCCCTGATGTTCCGAACAAGTAGACAAATTGACAATATGATCATTTCAGTCACTTGTTTGGCCCCAAAATGAAAATTTGTATTGATATTTTTCCAATTTTCCGCCATTAATTGTTAATCCACCCTTCTGAAATCATTTTTCTTCAACATGTAGATCAGAGAACGGTTCAGAAAACTGTCATCCCCTTTTCATTTGATAATAGTTTGTCATTTTGATTAATTATTAATTTAGGTCTGTTTCTGTTTAATAATGACCCAGAACTGTGAATTCTATGCTCATAAATTTATTTGTTTTGCAGGGGTCTTTGAAGATATCGAGGTGTATTATGACGTCCCTAAATACCCGCATTTACGGGTATCGTACAAGTTCTCGTCGATCCGCTTCGCGCCGAAATGCTACTGCAATCCGAATGATTTCCTCTTTGATGACGATCTTGCCACCAAGACGGTGAGGGCGCACAAGTTTTACAACGGCAACGACCCTGACGTGGGCTGCAATCATCCAGACGGTGTGTTTGAGCAGAATACAAGGTGTGTACGGTTAAAAAAGATTAGAATTATGTATATGAGTAATTCTATAAATTAGAGACCCACTTTGTGACATTTTTGGTGTCCAAGTTACATAAGGAAGCTACACATATTTGTGGCTCTTAGTAAAGACTTAAATAGTGGAGTGAGATTGTAAATTGATTTCCAAGCATAATATAGCATTTTTATACCTAGAATCACTTACAGTGTAACAATCTCACTCCACTATTTAAATTTTTACTCAGAGACACAAATATGTGTGGGTTCCTATGTAACTGGGACACCAACAATGTCACAAAGTGAGTCACTAATTTATGGAATTACCCATATTCAAGCTGCATCAGAAAAATGTCCATTCAAAGCTGTCACAGAAAGTTTGATTTGACCAGTAAAAGATATTAACAAAGTAAAGAAACGGTGATGGAAATTACTCTTATTATGAGATTTTGTTTCTTTCCTCTTTTCTGTGCTTCATGTAATTTTATCTTCCTGCTTTTCCTCTTTTGCTCTTCTGCTTTCAACCTCAATGTAAGCTCACTCTCTCTTTCTTTCCTTCGCTCTATCTTTCTCTTCCCCTCCCCCTCTCTCTCTCTCTTTCTTTCTTTCCCTTTCCCTCTCCCTCTTCCTCTTTCCTTCTCTCTCTCTCTTTATTTCCCTCTCCCTCTTTCCTTCTCTCTCTCTCTCTGTCATCCTCTCTCTCTCTCCATCTTTGCTTCCATCATGAGCTAGGCATTGTGCGTATGATCAGACTTTTAGAACACTTTCTGCAAGAAAAATAACCTCCCTTTTTTTTTCTTCTTCAGAGCTGATGTTTTAATCACATCTCAAATCGAACCAATATGGAGGAACCGAACCTCGCCGCTTCTGAGAGACGTCAAGTGGACGTACATAGGGTGCCGCAGCGGAGTGTTTCGCACATACCCAGGTCATAGGTCACGGAGACCATATGACCCAACAAAGTAAGTACAGAGGGGTGTCATTGTGAATTCTGGACTAATTCATCCGTTTCTGTATTATCATCATCTGTAAATTTTAGGCAGTAAATGTATAATTTGCACATGAATATAATAATTATTTCAATCTACCCCTAAATGGGAATTAAATTAGGGCAAGTGATTACTAGCAAAAGGTTTGTTGTTTTGATGTGAAACTGATGCCCACACTTGTTTTACTCATATTTTCTCATTTAAACAACTATTGCACAGAGACCAAAAAAAAAGTAATTTCTAACAGTATGTATGTATACAGTAGGTTTGCAGTTGCACCATGTGTGAGAGAGAGAGGGAGGTATGTATGCAAATGTAAATTTCATCAGGTAAAAGTAATTCCTTGTATGTTATTTACCATTGAGCAGTCCATTTTGGATTGATTTTGTGTCTTTAGCCCCCCCCCCCCCCTCCGAAATGGATAGCACCATTACCCGCCTTTTAATATTTCGAGGGGTCAGTTGGATAAAAAGTGAGTTATGTGTCACTGAGCACTTGGGCCTTAAGGAGTTAAGTCTATGTTTCACTAGCCATTGACTTCAATGGGGTGTTGGGTTAGGTTAAGTCTTTGTGTTTCCTGGAAAGCCCACATTTTTCTGAACATTTTGATATCAATGACTCATTTTGGCAAAATGTGGAGTTACGTCTTTTTGTCACTGAACCCTCGATTTTAGCTATATCAAATCACTCACCCTATCTTATCTGTATGGCAGGCGTCCCTGGTTCCACAAAGTGATCGTCAACCCTGACAAGACCACCATCTCCACTGCTTACATGGACGCAGCGGGGGTCGGGAAGATCATCAGTCTCTCCCAGGCTGTCTTTGAAGGCATGGAGAACAAGACGAGGGAGTCGTGCGAGAAGCTGACGGGCAAGCTTCCCGGTGGCTGCGAGTGCCAAACCAACAAGGACTGCATCTCGGGTGAGTGAGTGATGGCAATGATAACCATGAGAAGGGATGATGATGATGATGATGATGATGATGATGATGATGATGATGATGATGGTGATGGTGGTGGTGGTGGTGGTGGTGGTGGTGGTGGTGGTGGTGGTGGTGATGGTGGTGATGATGATGATGATGATGATGATAATGGTGGTGGTGATGATGATGATGATGATGATGATGATGGTGGTGGTGATGATGGTGAAGGTGATTATGATGATGATGGTGAAGGTGATTATGATGATGATGATGATGATGATGATGATGATGGTGATGATGGTGAAGGTGATTATGATGATGATGGTGAAGGTGATTATGATGATGATGATGATGATGATGATGATGATGATGATGATGGTGAAGGTGATTATGATGATGATGGTGAAGGTGATTATGATGAATAGGAGGAGGAGGGGCAGGAGGGGCAGGAGAAGCGGTTCGACGGTGATAATAATGATACTCTGTGTGACTATTCTCGATCTGCAGTCAATTTCCTGCACTAACCAAATTCCTAATTTCAACCCCAGATCCAACCTATACCTACAACTCTAACACTCAATATCACCTTAAACCCAATTGCAATTAACCCTAGCCTTGTGTCTTTGATCAAATGAACCCTGGAGCAATGGTTGCCAAAGTAAGTGTTAGATCACCTGATACGGATGATGACGATGATGATGAAAACAATGATTATGATGACGGTAGTGTTGAGGATGATAATGATGATGGTGATTATGGTGATGAATGGTAATGCATGGTTATGATGATGATGATGAAGATGATTACTATGCTAATTGTGATGATGGTGGCATTATTGATGGTTATGATGACAGCTACATATACATCCTTGATGGATAAATGTGAAATGTAGAATACAATATTGATGATATGACAGGATTTAGAACAATTTGAATGAGAGTAGAGAATCGATTAGTACCACAGAATCAAAGATTAGCCTTGATGAATGACATACATGTTCTTCGAATGAGGGTTAACAATAACTACATCAACATTCAGTTTTTTAACAGGCAGTCTGTCAAGATAACAAGATGCATGTTAAAACAACCTCCGAAAGAAAGCATCAACAATTTTTAGCATTTTTCTTCCATGTACAGTACATGTATGGACTTTGTCATGCAGAAGCAAAACAAAAATGCATTTGCAAGGAAAATTTATGACATTTCTTGTTCATAATGCCAATAAGTGATATTTACTGGCTAAACTAAAAGGATGAAATTCATCTAGTTTTCATTTCCATTTCCCCCTAAAGGAAAGTGCTACAAGAGTGAAGCAAAGGGGTACACCAAGAACACCCGCTGTGCCTCGGAGAGGGTGGAGGCCGTTACCTCTTTGGATATCCTCTACAATGACTTCCACAAGAACGTGTACAGCATCATGCGCGATGACGACATGCCCTACTCCTGCGGGGACTACTACAATTGTCCAAACGGAGAGCCAGGATGCCAGACCAGGTAGGTCAGGTTTATATGCCGGTATTTATTTGGGGGTGATGATGATAATAAATTGTTCTTGTATAGTGCATATACTTTAACCTACCCCTGAACCTAATGTCATAGCAACCCCAACCCTAACCCCATTTCAATGACCGATATGGACAAGACGAAAGAGCAAATGTTTGGTAGCCATCCTCCTTATTGATTACTATACCCCTGTCTTAATGGAGGGGCTAGCTTCCAAAGTTGCTTATAATTGTGTGGTCTATGCACGTACAATAGGTTCGTCTACTACCCAATTGGTCTATTCCCATATGGTCTACACTTAGCACGTCTAATATCCGCATCATCTAAAAATCATTTTGTCTACTTACATGTATCATTTGGTCTAATGACCATTTAGTCTAACTCCCATCAATTCCAGTTAGACAATCTATTATTTGGGGGTGATGATGATACTAAATCATTCTTTTATATTGCATATATCACATGAAAATTTAACCTACCCCTAAACCTAATGTCATAGTAACCCCAACCTTTACCCTATTTCAATGACCAGATACGGACAAGAGGAAATGCTGCGAGAGCAAATGTTTGGTAGCCATTCTCCCGATTGATTACTATACCCCTGACTTAATCGAGGGGCTAGCTTCCAAAGTAAAGTGGGCAGGTCGCTTTATAACTGTTTGGTCTATGCATATACAATATGTTTGTCTACTTTACCCAATTAGTCTATTCCCATATGGTCTACACTTGGCCTGTCTAATATCCGCATCATCTAAAAATCATTTCGTCTACTTATCATTTGGTCTAATGACCATTTAGTCTAACTCCCACTTTTTCCAATTAGACAATCTGGGAATTAGACTTACTATATAGTTACTAGACTAAATGAACAATAGACCAAATGGGTAGTAGACTAATTGAGATAAGACCATATGAAAATTAGACCAAATGACTTGAAATAGGTTTGCACAGTATCATCAGCAACATCATCATCATCATTCCCTCTTCCTTGTCCAGATGTTTGACAACTTTGCAATGCTGATCACCGACTTATTATCTAATGAAAACCAACAGAGGTATTTGTAAACATACACGCATGTACATAAATTTGACATTTACTCAGAAAATCCAAATCGAGCTCCCATTTAAAAAAAAAGAAGATTTTTACAATATCATCAGCAATCATCCTTCCCTCTCCCTTAATTGCCCAGATGTTACCTGTTTGACAACTTTGCGATGCTGATCACCGACCCCATCTTCCTGAACATCAGCGACCTTGACACGGGCAAGTACAACCGTGTCCCGCTGGGTAAGAAGGAGGGGGAGATCATGCACGATCTCATCTATCGTCACAGCTTCTTCCAGCGCAAGGAGCAGATTGACTTCCAGGGCAGCTGCAGCGTCTCTCCTGGTGCCCCAAGGGTGAGCCTCGACCGTTTCCTTTGCTTTGTCTTTCTATCTTTTTCTAGCAATTGTAAATGATATTTTCAACTCTTTAATTGCCACACAAATAAACTCATCATGGGATAGATATACCAAAGGCTTCAAGATTATTCAACTGTTTCCAGTACAAGATTGATCTACACAGTATTAAAAGGGTTGTCATGGAGTTAATCGAGACCGGAAATGGGTAATTTCTGGTCTTTTAAAGCCTACCTGCACTAGTTTGGCTAGGAGAGCTTATAGACCTCCCTGTGTGGTCACTGACAGGTGGTTATTTCATCAAATCATCTCTCAAGTACAGTAATATAAGAAAAAGATGATCATGGGGGGGACCAATGGTCACCAATTAGGCATTGTTTGCTATATAGGGGGCGCAAGTAGCTATGTAGTGTGTGCAATGGGGCTTTAAATACCACACAAATATACGTCCAATATGGCTCACTATATTTATCGTGGGCTAGATGTACCAAAGGCTTCAAGGTTATTTCAACTGTTTCCTGTGCAACATTGATCTACATGTATGTCAGCGTTAAAAGGGTTGTCATGGAGCTAATCGAGACAAGAAGTGGGTAATTTCCTGTCTTTTTTTAATAATTGTGTGTAATTTCCTGTCTTTTAATTTAAAGCCATTGTGTTGGGCAAAGCAATCCTTCCATGAATTGGTTTGTATTTTTTTCTGCAAAATTACACTTGTGGCAAGTGATTGACCATGCAGAGAGGCAAAGTGTTGATTATAATATGCCATTCTTCTAAAGCACATATCACATTATTATATAACGTCCCAATGTGCCTGCCTAAGGATATTTGCATATCACTACCTCAGTTTTAACTCCGGTAGGGCTCATTGCATTCAAGGAATAAATCCCGCCAGGTACACCTGGGTATAGAGAGTGGCAAATGTAGAGTAAATTTCTGCCGAAGGATGCTATATAGTGCTGCAGCAGGGATTCAAACCCTGTACCTCATTAATATATTAGACCATATTGCCATTGTCTTCAACTCAGGGGAATATGATCTTAGCTCAGTTAATATTTCCGATGTACATGTACTCCTCAAGCCCACGCAGTCAATATAATATAAATGTTTTCTCTTTTAGCATGCTTCAATATTTTTCTGTCTTTGCTTTTCTTCATCTAGGTGTCTCTGGATGGCATACCCAAGACACCTGAAGACCTTGATGACTTCTACCGTAACCGAGGTCCCATCCCCTCATTCTCAAACTCTGGTGGTTGCATCCAAGATGTGGTTGGCTACCAGGCTAACACCTCAGCTCTAGGTATAAAATAGGTTTACAATTGAGACACATACCACTTCTATCATAACCGAGGTCCTATCCCCTCATTCTCAAACTCTGGTGGTTGCATCCAAGATGTGGTTGGCTACCAGGCTAACACCTCAGCTCTAGGTATGAAATAGGTTTACAATTGAGACACATACCACTTCTATCGTAACCGAGGTCCCATCCCCTCATTCTCAAACTCTGGTGGTTGCACCCAAGATGTGGTTGGCTACCAGGCAAACACCTCAGCTCTAGGTATAAAATAGGTTTACAATTAAGACACATACCACTTCTATCATAACCGAGGTCCTATCCCCTCATTCTCAAACTCTGGTGGTTGCATCCAAGATGTGGTTGGCTACCAGGCTAACACCTCAGCTCTAGTTATAAAATAGGTTTACAATTAAGACACATACCACTTCTATCATAACCGAGGTCCCATCCCCTCATTCTCAAACTCTGGTGGTTGCATCCAAGATGTGGTTGGCTACCAGGCAAACACCTCAGCTCTAGGTATGAAATAGGTTTACAATTAAGACACATACCACTTCTATCATAACCGATGTCCCATCCCCTCATTCTCAAACTCTGGTGGTTGCATCCAAGATGTGGTTGGCTACCAGGCTAATTACACCTCAGCTCTAGGTATGAAATAGGTTTACAATTAAGACACATACCACTTCTATCATAACCGAGGTCCTATCCCCTCATTCTCAAACTCTGGTGGTTGCATCCAAGATGTGGTTGGCTACCAGGCTAACACCTCAGCTCTAGGTATGAAATAGGTTTACAATTAAGACACATACCACTTCTATCATAACCGAGGTTTTATCCCCTCATTCTCAAACTCTGGTGGTTGCATCCAAGATGTGGTTGGCTACCAGGCTAACACCTCAGCTCTAGGTATAAAATAGGTTTACAATTAAGACACATACTTCAATGACGATTAAAACCTACTGGACAAAGATCCAGGATTTTCCAATACTTAACATACCAATACAGGGCTGTCAACTTTGGAGAATTGCTTCGAGGGAGATTGTATGCAATTGTTTTTGTTGCTCAAGAAGGGGGGGGGGGAGGGAGGGGGGTAGTGAGCACTTTAAAAATGAAATATTCATCATTATCATTATTATCCTCACTACTATCATATATTAATGTCGAAACCATTATCATTTTCATCATCGTTATCATCATCTTATGTTTTCAGGATCCACTGGTCTCCTAACTGGAAACATCTCTGGCCCCTGCAAGTCTGGCTTCTACTATCTGACTGCTCTACCAAAGACCAATCTCTTCCTTCTGGTGGTTGAGAACTGGAGGAACACCAAGGAGAGTCTCTTCTTCAATTTCAACTGCAGAATCACCAACAAGTGAGTTTATATATAGCTCTTACTGCATAGGCTTTAAACCCCATCCGCACTATTTTGGCCAGGAGGGATTAGACCTCCCTGCAAGGTCGCTGTCGGGTGGTTATCTCATCAAATCAGCTCTCAATTAACATAAGAAAAGGGATAAAATCTATTGCTTAAGGCTATAAGTTCCATGTTGGGCATTGAACCCATGACCTATTCATTTCCATTGTTCCAAGCACCTGACTGTGACACTATAGCTTCTTTGTTTAAAGCCTGTCTGCACTAGTTTGGCCAGGAGTGAATATAAACCTCCCTGCATGGTCACTGACAGGTGGTTATCTCATCAAATCAGCTCTCAATTAACATAAGAAAAAGGAAATCATGGGTGACCAACGGACACCGCTTGGCATTGTTTGCTATATAGAGGGCCCAAGTAGCTACAAGTAGTGCAGTCCCGCTTTAACTTACAAGAAATGTGAGGAAATACAGACTAAACCAGCTCTTCCTTTAATCTCTTTAACCTGTCAGGGTGTCAGCAACAGGAGCGTTCAGGATCATCAACGGAACCTGCGCCCACACGGACGACAAGGTCTCCCTTGTGATGCAGAACAAGTGCCCCATCATACGTGACGTTAACATCCCGTGCAAGTATAACTCCGCTCCACCGGACCGCATCCGCACCGTTACCGGGCTCCTCCTCCTCGCCTCTCTTCAAATATTCTTGTATTTTGTACTGACAGCAATAGGATGAAGATAGATGAAGGGTCGATCTCGAAGCTCCTTTGAGCATGTTTCCGCTTATGTTATTTTTATTCAGCAAAACACCAGAAACCATCTCACTGCGGTCTTGTGTGGTATCCTACATGTATGTCTCTTATGACTTTGCAATATCAACTCCTTTTTTTGCTGAGGCACATGTAGCTTACTATAATGTACGAACATGAAAAGAAGCATCCAAAGAAAAAAGATGAATTGTACTTTAAATCAGAGATCTTTGATGATTTTAGACTATTGTTCAGCTTAAATTTTATTTTAAATATATATTAGAAGAAAAAAACATGGTTGCAAGTGATATTCAAGTAGAATTCAAAATGCTCTTTATCTCTTGATAGGATTTTAGGGGGAAGTTAGAGAATTACCACTCAACATCATTCAATAGTATTTTTTCAACCTTGATGATTAATTGCTTTCTGATGTGCTTTCTAGAACTGGAATGTTTTCATATGAAATATTTTGAAATTGCTTTCAAACATTTTTTCTTAGAGACTATTTGTGTTGTCTTTTTTTGTAGGTAAATTGTTTTGTATTCTAGATTCTTTTTTATTTTAAATGAAGGAATGCTTTGTGTTTTGATTGTCAGGATCTGTGGTTGTTATGTAGATATTTATTGAGGAAATGAAGATGCAGGCTTTAATTATGATTTAAAAGCTGGAAGCAAATGCGGACCAACCAAAGCATGCTCTTTTCTTAACAAACATGACATTTAAAAAACCTTAATTCACCATATCATTATTATTCTAAATTACTGTTGTTTATGCTTTGTACGTGCAGATTGTGAGGCCTTGTTGTGAGACCTTGAAACAAATAAAGCAAAGATTAAACAGGATTGAAGATTTCATATGGCTTTTGGGTAAACTTTTGGCAATTAATTCCTACAAAACTTACTGTAATCATTTCCAAGTTGCATATATAATTTCCCAGAAGTAAATTCAAATTTTGACTCGGATGCCAAAACATAGATCTGTAAACCCAACCAAATACACTAATATTGAACAGTTGATGTTAATAAAACGTGGATTTTGAGGTATTCACCAATATTTTTAGGTAATCAGTATTACTCTTCCCATTATCTTATATGTTATTGGCTCCAAAACTATCATAACTATTTCACTTTCCAGTATTCAACCTATTGTATTTGGTTTGATTCAATCTTTACAAGCGAGAATCATGTATTCAATCAGTAATTGGACTTTATGCAATAAGAAATACTTGTTTTCCATTTTAAATTATAAGAATGAACAAAACATAAATCTTTTCTCTGCAAATGAATCAAACTTTTTTAATATATAAAGAAACCCTTGCATTGACATTTATATTGACTGATTTAATGGTTGTGAAATAAGCATGAATGTTAACAAATTAGTCATTCATGACTTTCATCGTGATCGTTTGATAAGCTATTTAACTTTGAAGCCTTGCTTTTCTGGCATTTCAAACGTTCCGTGGATGCAATACTGTTTTCTTCTTGCCCATCTATGTATATTTATGTGCAATATTATATATATTATTATTATATGAACTTTAATTAAATGTAACAAAGATTGAATTTGGGTTTAGGAATTAGGAAAAAAAATTCTCATTTGAGTAAATAATTTTGGATACTTATTTCACTTGTCTCACCATAAGTAGAAAATAATCTTTAGTGTGCTTACAATTTAAAGAGGTTTTATTCTAGCCTGTCCCAATTGTCATTTCCTCTTCTTCTTTTTTCTCTTCTTTTTTTCAGTAACAGATATTTTGTATGTTGGATTTTTTATTTGTTCAATTGTTTGAACAGGACAGTCACCAATTTGTATACTTGCTTTAAAAAATTGTAGTTGGAATCTCGTATTTTGCAAGGTTTATAGTCGTTTGGTCTACAACTAGTTCGTCTACTATACCCAATTTGGTCTTCATGATTATTATTATTTATGATTAAATGATTATTAGACCATATAGATAGTAGACAAACTGGGCATTAGACAAACTGGGAAAGAGACCGACTGGCAATTAGAGCAAATGAGTGATAGACCAAATGGGTTGTAAACTTATTGGAGATTAGACCAAATAGAAAGTAGACCAAATGGTTATGAGACCCTATGGATAATAGATGGTTAGGGAGTAGACCATATGGGAATAGAATTGGGTAATAGATGAGCAGGTTGTAAACCAAACGGCGAATCACCTTTCGCAAGGAAATTGGTACTTGTTTATAACTATATGATGGAAATTTCCACCATGAGCATACTTTCATTTAATATGTAGTCTTGCACAATCATTGTACTAAAGGAGATTATATGATAAGAGTTTCAAACTATTCTAGACATGCAATAGCTCATACCCTACTAAAGATTGTACATAGTCATTTGCAGATTTTATACTTAAAGGAGAAGAAAAAACTTTGCAGAATTATAGAAAAACAGTGAAAGAGTGACTAGATGATGTAAAAAAGTGTGATGATATTGAAAAAATAGTTTCATTGTGGAGTTTGACTCGGAAAATAATGAGAGAAATTTGAGTTTTTTGTAGAATATGCATATAAAAATTGTTTTTGAAAATTGTGGTACATGGTTGATGTTGTAGATATTATGTGCAATCATGACTTTTGTAGATTAAGAGATTGGACATTTTTATGTGCTTAAAAACATGGTTTAATACCAGTCCTTAATAAAAAGAATTTAATGCTGACAAAAATATTAATTTGATTTGTTGTTACATTTGTCTTTTGCATTCTTTGTTCCAAGAGTTTTTCATGCAATATTCACCTCTTGTTGCTATTACTTTTTTTGTTTTGCTTTTGTTTGTTTGCTTGTTATTTGTTTGTTCGTGTATGTTTGTTTGCTTTATGGGAGTAGGTCCAACATCTCTATATGTTCCTGTTTCCTGCTATAGTAGAATAGCTGGTTTCAAAATGTGCCGATGAATTTTAAAACATTCCATATTGATCATGTTGGTGAGGATATCCTCTACTGAGCTCCTTGTCTCTCGCTCTCTCACTCTCTTCCTTTCTCTCTTTTTCTCTGTCTGTCTGCCACTTTTCCTCTTGCATGTCAATCACTCTTTTCCCTCTTCCATTCCCTTTCTCTCTTCCTTTTTTTTTTTTTCTTCTTCCAGTTCTCTTTTTTCTTGAGAATCTGCCCGGTTTCCGCTCGCTTGAGCAGTTTTTCACAGATAAGTTATCTGAAAAATGAATTATGTAGGCGCAATGTACATCGATATCACTATGTTCATAGCGAAAATTTTAACGAATCATATCATACCATTCTTTCTCGTGAAGTCCGGAGCGACTGTAGTTTGCCGTCAGCATGTAGCATGTTTCCTGCCCTTTATCGCTCTCGAGAAAAATCCAGATGGACTTTCGTAACACTACCATTACTTTCTAGCTCGGGAAAAAAAAATCAAGTTCGGTGCCTTTGAAAAATCATGCATTTTGTTGTTTATTGATTTATGGTAATCAGTCAAACTCAAACCCGACTGTTGTATCGCTCATCAGGATAGGAAAAAGGGATTGTCTCTTCAAATTATGGATTGAATTTTAATTTGATAAATTCATTTTCGAGGCGGGTTAATTTTAATTACAAGAAGAAGAAAAAATTATTATACAACAACAATTTAATAGATTAACCACCACTCGGTTTAAAAAAAAAGAAGTATCCCATCTTGTGTGCATATTTGCACAGAGCAATATAACAGCCACTAAATTTATACTGAATGTTAATTTCCGAGTGATTATTTTGTAGACCATCAAGTAGGCCTGTAAAATGTCAAGTTTACTTTTAAGGTGCCATTGGTATTGTGGCGGAATAGGGGGATTAATAGAACGATGAGGAACTATATAGAGAGATAGGAGGAGAGGTAAGAAGAGGGGTGTATTTCAGTAAGACTAGGGTTGCGTTTATCGACCAAATTTTTGGCTAGAATCAGGTTTCTCAAACGTCTTTCAAGCAAATTTAGAAGGTGATAAACGCAAAGCCTTTTTTAAAGGGCTTTAGATAATTATGGGCATATCTAAAGACGCAAAAAGGTGTGTTTTGAATGTGACATACAGCCAGAATCACGTTTCTGAGAGATCGATAAACGCAAAGCTGTTTTGAACCTCACATACAAATAGGAATTCCCAGGCTAGTTTCCGGTTCGGAGAAATAGCGCTGAGCAGCTGCGAAGAGACAAGGCCTTTATTGTGAATCGTGAAGAGTCGATAAACGCGACATCCCGCAAATCACGATCGTATAGTGGGGTTCGATAGTGGGGTATGATACACTATGAATATGACGAACAAAGAAAGCGGACAAAATATACAGTTCCTCAGGTAGACAAAGGAACATCCCTTCACTGCTATTATGTAAAAAGGTGAATATGCATGTGACACCTGTTCTACACATTTTTATATAATAGCAGTGAAGGGATGTTCCTTTGTGTACCTGGGAACTGTATATTTTGTCCGCTTTCATTGTCAGTCATGTTCATAGTGATAGTGGGGTACGACATATCTAGTGGCAAGCCCCGATAAACGCGCCTAAAGGGGTACGTATATCACTTTGCCACCAAAATCAAGTCAACAATCAATCACTAGCTCAACTAGCCTTTATAGGAGCGCTAGATTCTCCTCTCTTTACAAGTCTAGTTGTAAAGAGGTAAATACCAGACCTGCTGAATAACACAACAACCGATAGATCAATGACTTAATTATTCACAAATCGCAGCCCTCCCGTGTCATTCATAATTGGTCAACCTTTGACCTGAACCCTGGGGCTCTCGATCTCAGATCGGCTCGGGCTCTAGTCTAGTCGATCCAGCCTCTGTACCGTGTGGACGGAAATTTGTTTGGGGATTGCGCGATCAGTGGAGAGACCGCGCTGTGTGTGTGGGGGCCGCGCCAGGATAAAAAGAAAGAACGGACTGAATCTGGACTACTCGCGCTCACGTCACAAGTACAATTCGATATTCGCACTCTATTTGGATTCAATCCATATCTGATATGTCGACAGCTAGCTAGCTAGCTGTGCATGAGCTGAGCCTGGCATATTGCATGATGAGCTGGCCTGGCTCATCTCCACATCGTTCCTCACTTACAATTTAGCTTGTATTTCTTCAACGAGGTGAGTTAAGATCTGAATTATTCTCTAAAGTATCAGTAATCTGTAGGCATGATTAATTAATCCTAAGACTCGTACCAAACTCAAATTCTCTAGACCTAACTATCTGCACGACAAACTTCTAGGCCTACTTCTACTTCTACGACGATACATAGGCCTAGGATCCATAAGTTAGGATGTAGATCTAGACCTAGATAGACTAGTGCTGAGGAATAAACTCTCTAGTTCTTGGTCTAGATGCTGGGTGGAAGCGCTCCCTTGAAGCCCTCGGCCTCCGGTCCAGTGCATGAAGTAACGTCAAGGGTGATCTTTGAAAGTGCATTCCACGCAGTTACTGTCCGAGGGGAAAATGAGTTCTGGTAGAGCTGGGTGCGGGATTGGATAGCCAGCAACTTCTTTGATTGATACTGTCGTGTGTTGCAAACATGTATGATGTAGATCTAGGTCTATGATGTACATGTAGATTTCTAGGGACTAGGCTAGACTAGACCGAATTTTCTGTCTCTTTCGTTCGTTAGCCTCTGAAAAGAGTCTGTTTTGGTTGGCTCCTCTCTTTGAGGCTAACGAACGAAAGAGACAGAAATTTCGGTCTAACAAGTAAGACATAGACTCTAGGTCTAGATATAGATCTAGACCTAGACCGAAAACTTCAGTCTCTCTAATCGTCGGTTGTCCCACTGAGACTACATCTGGCTCCACTAGACCTCCGATTATAGAGACTGAAGATTGTCCTATCGGGACTGTACGGAACCAATGCCGGTTCGGCAGGACCGCGATGAATGAGATATGCTAAATTGCTACGAGATTTTCACTCTTTACATCCTCACACATGCTGCAATAATATGACAATAATTAGAGTCTAATTAAAAATAACATATATATAGCTTATTTGACTTACGATAGCTTGCTCATTTAGATCCTAAATTAATGATTAATCCGAGAAAGTCTCGTCGTCAACATTATCCGTCTTGGTTTTAGTTGATGAATATTAATTTTTTCTTTTCGAACGTCCAATAGCTACCGTAGCTACATACGAGTCGGCCCGGCTTGACCAACGAACTCCCACGAAACGAGTGCTCTGATTGGCCATTGGCTATGTTTTGGTAGGTGGACCCGGAAATATATCGGCCGCCGGGTAATATTTCGAATGCATGAATGTAAGTGCTTCGCGGTTCTGAGGAACAAATTGGATAATTCATATAAGTAAGTCCGAAAATTTCACATTCTATAATAGGTTAGCAAATTTTGAAAACTGTAATTAGGAGATATATAGACCGACCTAATTTACATCTGATTTAGAAATCAGGA